CCCATATTGCATGCCTGGCTTTTACCTCTATTACAATAGTTGATGGATTTACGCTTCTGGAAACTCTTCATCTAATAATTGCTCCCAATCCATTCCTTCTCTTCCCATGCGAAATGCCACGTGGATAGTCCTGCATCATCTGAACATGCTCGTTCAAGACATTCACATTTGAGATAGTAGGCAAATAATTATATCCTTAAATACTGTAGCAGTCATAATAGCTATGCTATCTGCTTTTTTCAAAGCAAATATCAGCTTTTACAGCACCACTTTAAATAGTCCAAATAAGTCTTTGTAAACATTTTTTGATGAACTGTTTGAAAGACCAACATATTTCCAAAATATACAGAATAGTCAAGTAAGTTTATTACAGTCAAAAACCAGAAACCAGAAAAACTTTCTGGACAAAGGCATGCAGGCAAATTGAAACAAAACAGATTAAAGTTTGTGATGGTCAAAAATGACTTCAACTGTAATGGCATATATAACCTGCACATATGCATGCATCCCTGATTGGGGACAACTGTAGACAACAAACTGAAATTTAATTCTGTTAAATTTTGTGAATACAATGGTTTTGTGAGTCCTTTATATAGGTTTGTGTGTTCACTACATCATATCTTGGGTAAGGAGAACACTATCCAACGTTCCCAGTGTATGAATGTCTAATTCATAGCTGCTCTTGAACATAATGAGATAACTTGATGGTCCAAAAATTATGTCTGAAGTCGGCTGGTTCTGAGAAAACTTCACCTGGTCCATTTCAAAATAGGTTCTGATGTTTCTTTGGAAAAATCTGTAGATGTTCGTTCTCAGAAACAAGGTCTACTCCTGCACCAGTCTACCTCTTCACAAAGATTCTGTGAATATTCCCTTTGAATGCCAAATAGGGAGACACCCAATTCAGTTGAAAAGAGAGATGTTCTTCTAAGTGTTGTTTAGTCTGCAGTTATGCAATATGCAGACATATTGCAATGAAAACTTTTGTTTCAAAGAAGTACAATAAAGCACAACAATTATCTGATATGAGTACTTCAGTTATAACTTTGTCAGTGTGACTATTTAAAAAAAGAAAAGAAAAAATAACCCATGCTTAGATCCATACCACACTAATGTTCTCCAAATAAACCACACTTGCCATGGGAATCCTTTCGCTGGAATACCCTTGAGGGAATATGAAAGACAAAATACATTCTGTATTCACTGATGGATTTTCATTGGAGGTCTCACATGACAACACATGACAACACCTAGAAATCTCTAAAAGACTTTTAAGCCTCCTTGCTATCAATGCTGCAGTTTCTGCTAGTTCATCAGTTCCTTTCTTCTTAGGCAGGAGATACTCTTGGTGTGAACTAACAGGATTAGTGTTCATTTGCCGAGCTTTGATCCGGTTGCAATTTGTATTTGTGGGCAAGATTCTCATAAATTCTGAACATAGTTTTTCTCCTCCCTCTGCAAAAATGCAGGACACTTGGTTTAAGTGTACATTCCATTAACCTATTTCCTAACTGAGGAAGAAATGATATGCAAAGGCAAAACAAAACCTAAATAAACAAATAAAACGTAGGTTGTTTTTGAGTAAAGTTAACATCTAGCATTGCTTATTCCCTCTACTAATGTTAAGATTTTCAAGAACTTTTTTATTTTTCCATTTCTATCCAACAATATTTTTTAATGACTCAAATCTTAGAATATGCTGTTATGTGCAATTAAAAACACAAATCACCCAAGCAAAATAAAAATATAACAAACCAATTTTCAACAGTTGCAAGAGGTTAAATGCCTCATACGTTTAGGGTAGAATCCTAAACAATCAACAAACAGATTTGTAATATTATTTTCAAAATAAATAAGTTAGCATCTAGCATTGCTTATTCCCTTTACTAATGTTAAGATTTCCAAGCATTATTTTATTTTTCCATTTTTTATCCATTTTTAATGGATCAAATCTTAGAATAAAAACACAAATCATAATAAGGAAAATAAAAATATAGCAGAAACCAATTTTTTAACAGTTGCAAGAGGCTAAACGTCTCATGAGTTTAGGGTAGATTCCTAAACAATCAACAAATAGACTTCTCATATTATTTTCAAAATAAATATTGAGATACCTCACAAATGTTTTTGGAAATTTTTAACTAGTACTTTTTTCAGCCAATTCAACCAAAGAAAAGGAAGTATGTATTTCTGAAGAGAGACTTAAACTATGTAACCAGGTTACAGAGCACATGCTTTACATATAAAGTGTCAAAACTCCAGATTTTGATCCTTCATAGGCAGGGTTGAATTCTTGCAAAACTACTGCAAATCCTTGCATATACAGAAGCTGCATTTATGCCCCACTTGTTCTGAACCACCATTTTGCCTTCAAAATCCAAAGCACTGCATAACATTAAACTAGATGGATCTTCTGACTTAATCGCTTCCTTTTATCAATAGTAAATTGATATTCTATGATTATTAGTGAATTGAAGACTAATACATGGGAGAGGCTGCATCTCCTAGAGAAGCAACCTCACTCAGTTGTTGAAAAGGGGATTAAGTTTAGTATGATAAGGACCTTTGTGCTTTTGCTGCACTATTTTTCCAAAATAAATTTTCTAATAACAAGTCTGATAGGAATCAGAAAAAAAGCCTTGTAACTCAGTGAGAAGCAGAGCAATACAACAGTGCCACAATTTAGCGCATGAGACTTCACCCAAAAAATTAAAATGCAGACCATTCAAGGACTTAAAGTTAAACATTCTGGAATAGACTCAAAAAACGGAGTGTCAGCCCACTGCTCTCAACATTAAGAATAATAGGTTTCCATAAGCCTTGATCTGAATGTTGCAGATACATCTTCCGTATGCTTTTTAAAAGCAGCTTCACATTATCACAGAAATCCTCAAAATGACTTTACCCTCTCCTCTATAGCACATGATGGCTAAACTATAGGCACATCATTGTGTATTTACACAACTTGCTTGACTCGGTTATGGGGTTAGGTCATTTTCATTGCACAATATATTGAAAGAATCGTGACACTGAAAGAAACTGCTTAGGATGTTGATCTCACTGTACATTTAATCAAATGGCTTGGATTCATACAACATATGAAGCTGCAAAAACACCAGTCAAGGGCAACTTTGCTTGTCTTTACTTGATCTGGTCAAAGCAGAACCACAATTTTTAACTGGGGCTATATAACCAGCTCCTACTACATTCTGAGTTGGCCATCAGTGCTCAGTCCCCTTTTATTTGATCTTACGTATGTTTTTCTTTAAAAGAAATCTATAAGTTATATTCTGCAGTTATTTTAGCAGCAGGAAAAAGCGAAGGCAGCCTTGTCAAATTCTGGGAAAAGCTTCTTCAGAAGCTGCCAAGGCTCAAACAAATGCCTTTTTGAAACACTGCTGCCCTTTGTGTGACATAACCACTTAGTGGGAATCCAGCCTAAAGACAAACTTCTGAAAAGATCACCAGCCTTGATGGATAACTAACTAAGGAGGGCCTGAAGCTGTGGGTGTTCCTCACCAAGTCTGCCAGAAATTTGACAAGGTTGCAAAAAGGAAGAACCAGAAACAAAGCAAAAGGGAAGGGAAAGACCTGCCTCAAAGCTAACAAAGGAGATAATGGTTTGGTAAACTATTCATTTTGCACTTTAGGCAAAGGTCATGTTTTCTCTATCTTCTTTTAGCTCGTTAAGCTCTTTGATGGAGACTTTTCCCTCCCAAAAACGCAACTGAACTTCTCTTTTAGGACCCATCCTCACAGCATCCCAGATACTGTCAAAATGAAATGCTTTCCCCAATTTTTTGACCGCTTTTTGTGCTATCACCCATCAATAGGGGGGGGGGGAGACAGCAAAACAATAAACAGCAGCACAGAAAAGGGAGAGAATCTTTTTCTTTCCGGAAAAGAGAAAATCCATTTATGGTTTGGATAGGATGAATAATCAAAGAAATTCATGCTGAAGGCTAGATTTAAAGATCATCTCAAATGTGAGGTCCGCAAGTCATAAAAGAGCCAAGTTTGAAGACCCCTTGCTTTAGAGTATTTCTGAAGAAATAGAGGCCCCATCAGCCAACAAAGCAGGAAGTTCAAAAGTAAAAAGATAATAAAATTTAAAAAGAAATCAATCTACTTGGAGGTTTGGTTGAAATATGATACTACTATATATACCTTTCTACATATACTTTCAATATCTACAAGAAAAAAAATGAGGGAACAGATCCATGAATTCTCCTCTTCCTTGACTCCTTATTTTATTGAAATCTTTAAAAAAATTTAACCTTAAATAAATAATCATGGGTATTAGCCAAGCAAGACACAATACTGTGCAATAAATCCAATGAATGCCATGGACAACAGCTCATTAGCTTCCATACATTTTGATATAGGTTGGAAGAAAGTTCTAGCTCTGGCCACCCATACAAGAATGACTTCATCATTCATCCCCCAAACTGCATACAATATTTATGTTATAATCCCATTTAAACATTTTTAAAAGCACAAAGTTCTATGACTAAAGTTGTAACTGCTCCAAAGCATGCAAAACTCTTTAAATCTTCTATAAAACTATCTTACAACCCTGTTATACTTCAGTGAAGTAGATCCCTTCCTCATGAATGCTATGTTCTATAAAACATCTGCCCAATTTTTTGTGTATTTTGGAGTGCCAAATAGGTATCACATTTTTCAGACAGCAAGACCTGAAAATATGTTCCGGGCACAGTACATACTTTGAAGGCATCAGAGAAGACTGCAATACGTAATACCACATTGTCATGCTACGCTTCAAGATATTACATTATGTACTATGACTTCATCCCGGATACACAAATTCTTAGGAGACACATCTGGCCTCTTATGTGGGCCATTAATGTGGAAATTTTCCCTGACATTCATACCAGGAAGACTGTGTGATCACACTCAGTCTGTGAACTATGCCCAATTCATTTTTGCTTTCTTTCCCTCCCCTACAAGACAAGAGACACAAGATGAAAGAGCCTCACTATGTTCATAAGGGTGAGAACGTAATTCTGGACATGCTCCTTCCCATGGAACCGTACAACCGAATCATCCACAGCCAACAGAACCTCTATGTTGTAGTCCTCCTTCTTTGCATGTCGCCTCTTCCTGTCTGCTTCACCCATTTGATCTTCAATTAGATTCAGAGCCTGGGGGAGCTGACCCAAGATGAAATCTGGAATTAGAAGAGTTAAAAACAAATGACAGTGTAAGAAATGGGTGAAACAGGATCACCTTAATAAGCCTGCTAATATCTTTTAAATGCATTGGTCCATAACACCTGCATACACACACAAATTCAGGCATTCAAACTGAGGTTTATATATATAGCAGCTGGATAGAAGGAAGGAAGAAGGAAGACAGCTACATCCAAGTGCCACCGAAGGATAAAACAAGTCCTAAAGAGCCAGCTCAATGGGAAGAACAAGATCTAAGCCAGGGGTGTCAAACTGCCAGCCCGCGGGCCGGTTGCATCATGCAGAGGCCGCGCCCACCCCAGCTCCAGAAATGCAAAAAAGTCACGATACATCGCAATATGTCATGTGACGTGGCGAGTTTGACACCCGTGATCTAAGCCATCAATGTGACGCTACCTACTTTTATAATGTTCTGCTTGCAAATTTGAAAATGCAGCAATAGAACAAATGCTAGACAAGACTCCAGTATTTTCTCATCTAAAGATATAACCTTGGACGTCTTCTACCCTTAGCACTGGATGAAAATGCTAACGGTGGAACCTGCACACTTTCCTTATTAGCATTGCCTGTCTCTCTTTTATTTCCCATCTAATCCCAGGATCTTTTTCCAAACCATTACGAAAAGTTAGGAAATTGCCCAACATAGATTGACATTTTGGAGTAATAGATAGGAGAATTAATCTTTTTGCTCTTGCTATGATTTCAAATCAGAGAAACACCTACCATTTGCAATATTAAAATAAGCTTCACTGAAAATTGTAAAAGTGAGTGGAGTGATACCGATCGGTGAGGGCAAAATCCTCCCATACCCCACCACAGGGGATTGAGGCTAATCGAGAAACATCAAACACTTAAGAAGTGACAAGGATCACATTTTGAGCCTAGAGGTTTGCTAAGCCTTAGTTTTTAGCCATCTTTGTTGAGTAACTCATAACCGTCATGAAAGCCACCATCTCGTAGCCCAACCCAATTCACAGGGTTTTTGTGGGGAAAATCGGAGACAGGAGCATTAGGTATGTACATTGTTTTGCCTAACCCAAAACAAAGGTGAGGTAAACATTTTAAAATAAATAAACAGTAGCTGGATTCACACATCATATGTAACTATAAATGACGCTTTTCAAACACAGAGCTAGGTTTATACAGCCCGCTAACTCAAAACCAACCAAACAACACGTTACTGTCAATGTGTCTTTGCTCAGAGACATTCAAGAACAATTACACCTTCTTTGAAATTGATGCTATGCAGATTGAGACCAGATACGAATTCTGTACAGTCTCCTAAATAAGATGAATGTGTCATTGTGTTTGTTTCCTCAGTCATACCTTCATTATGATAATCTTCAAATGCTTCTGTTCTTTCTTGTCTGATAGCAGATCTGCGGTAGACTACATGAGCTCTCCCATCCTCTTCTTTCTCCCACTGTCCTCTCTCCAGAGGCTCAATGAAAAATTCACCATTGTCTGTTCGAATGAGGCCAGCCTGGAAAACCACAGGACAAAAGAAAGAAAGAAAAATAAAATATTTATTTTCTTATTGATTAACACACCCTTGAATTTGCTAAAGGTTTAATCACTTCTCTTGTTATTAAAGGAATACTCAAATGTTAATTTCTATCACAATTCAACAGTGTAGCAGTTGTGTATCCCAATATTTTCTTGATGGAAACAAATATAGACAACATGCAGTTTCAGCAATGATCAAACACCAAAAGCAAATGTCCATAGCCATATTTTTATTTATTTATTTATCATAGTTATATACAGTAGCAGTCCATATCATTTAAATGAGATTTTGGGTAGCATACAACCAATGAACAGTTAAAAACAATGCAACAACCATTAAAATCTAGTAATAGCTGAAATTGTAAGTGTGAAAAATTTCAAGAATACAAAACTTTGGTTCTTCACGGACATTTTGCCTCAGGAGAATATTATTAATAAACAATGAGTTGATTATCTGAGTTTGGGGGACTTGTGGCAATGCAATTCTTGTTCCTTCTAATATATTCTTTCCAATTTATCTATATTGTTCTTAGTATGGATTTAAGAGCTTCAGGAACTGAAATATTCAACTTCATCTAAGTTGTATTCAGAAGTGGCTTTCTAGTTTCAGTTCATGACAGCTCTATTATTCAGGTTTTTAAAAATATGTCAGACAAAGCATGCTATAGAAATGTTAATGAGTAACATCCTTAGACAGAAGTTACTACATGGAACAACATATTTTAAGTAGCAATGTTACAATGAATTGAAATAGCTGAAATGCAAATGGAAAAGAGCTGAAATGGATTGTACATTGACTGCAAACATTCATAGTGCTGACTTAAGCTATCACTAAATCTGCTTGATCACCATGCTCTTTCACTACATCTGTTGGTTAGGCAAAAATTCTTTTCTAACACATAGTGGTTATATCCTGACCCTGGTAAAACAAAAAAGTCTGTGGGAATCTCACACCAGGACAAGCCATATTACTATACTTGGTGACCTCCAATTTATCATTATTTATACATTTATTTATTACTTCAGAGTTGTCTATACTTGCCAGTATGTAGGTATACAGTTTGCTGAGGCCCCATAGTTATTACATTTTCAGTCTCATTTGTTTGTGTGTCTATATTACCAAAGACTGATAGTCTGCATTATTTATACAATAAATACTATATACTATTATTAATTGTGTATTCAAGTTAGCTGCTGCTGATCCATGTGATAGCTGTACTGACAAAAGTAGACTATTTTAGGAGAGTGGACAGTATTATGTTACATTGCAATAATTTTATATATATCTTGTTCTTATACACATCTGGATAAGATGCCATATTTCCTTAAATATCAACCTTTTGGCGATTGCCTCAACCCAAAGATATCTCTTCCACGCAGGGGTCTCATGGAGCCTTTTTAAACAAGATTTATTGATATGAAAGAAACAGAGTTATAGGTATTTCAGCAACTGAACTATTTCCACCTTAGAACCAACATATTTCCCAATAGACTAAGGTAGAAACTTTCATTTGGAGTCCTAGTGGACGTTCACTTGACTATGAGCCAGCAGTGTGCAGCAGCAGCCAAAAAAGCTAATACAATCCTGGATTGTATAAACAGAGGCATAGAATCAAGATCACGCGAAGTATTATTACCGCTTTATAAAACCCTAGTAAGACCACCCCTGGAATACTGCAGCCAATTTTGGTCACTATATCACAAAAAAGATGTTGAGAATTTGGGGGGAAAAATTCAGAGAAGAGCAACTAAGATGATCAAAGGCCTGGAGACTAAAACATATGAAGAACGGCTGCAGGACTTGGGTTTGGCTAGTCTAAAGAAAAGAAGAAATAGGGGAGACATGATAGCAGTGTTCCAGTATCTGAGGGGCTGCCACAAGGCAGAGGGGGACAGGTTGTTCACCAAAGCACCAGATGGAAGGATGAGAAACAATGGTTGGAAACTGATCAAAGAGAGAAGCAACCTTTGAATTAAGGAGAAACTTCCTGACAGTGAGAACAATCAACCAGTGGAACAGCGTACTCCCAGAAATCAGTGGAGATTTTAAAGAAGAGACTAGACATTCACCTGTCTGAGATAATATAGGTTCTCCTGCTTGAGCAGGGGACTGGACTAGAAGACCTCCAAGGTCCCTTCCAGCTCTATTCTATTCTATTCTATTCTATTCTATTCTATTCTATTCTATTCTATTCTATTCTATTCCAATCCAATCCAATCCAATCCAATCCAATCCAATCCAATCCAATGGTTTTTGTTAGGCACAAAGAATCAGGACCATACGTTGGATTGCAACATGGAAGATTTATTCAAGTCTATACACAAGACTCTAGTCAACTAATTGGTGCCAGATAAAGGTCAACAGAATTCAGGAGGGGCTGGATTTGGACCGTTTGTGGCAACGTAATGACTCTAAGCTGCTGATGCATTTAATTCCATCCACAGCTCTGCCTGTTCTTCTCCTACAGCTTTCCTGTAAACCATTGAAAAAAAATAATGGTTTTCACTTATAACCAAGGAACTTTCAAGTGGCTGTTTATAAAACCATCTCCTGAATCCTGATCAATCATTCAATAAACTGTTTTATAAGAACATTATATACTGCTATCACACTATATTAGACTATGTAAGTGGAATGCATTGCAGTAGATCTAAGAAGCTTTATTAGTAGTATAAACCTAGTGCAGTTACATTGACATCAGGACCCAATATGGCCATTACAGAAACATTCACAAGCTCATTTCTGTTGTTACTGACTAAATATTTTAATTTAACGCAAACTAATAATAAGCTAATCCTAACCAAGCTTGGAAATGAAATCCACTCCCCCCAAAAAAAAATCAGAAATAGGTTGAGTGTATTCTAAGCCAGTTACCCACTCTTCAACTGCCCCTCCCCCAAACTCTTGAAAGGACATTAATTACAAACACATCTTTTGGGAATGAAACATTCAGTTCAATATCAACACCCATCATGGTAGGTATATATGTCAGCAAAGTCTGCTGTTACTGTCATTAAGCTAAAGCTTATTGATGGTCACTGTGCTAAGCAGAGTTTCATATCTGCTCAGCAAATATGTATAGTATAAAATATAGCGTAATAAATGTAAACTATTGAGAATGTTACCCTTATCTTCTGCACATACACACTGAATGAAGAAGGTATACGTTGGGCAGTACAATGTCCATATAATGTCATCTTTCCCCAAGTGATGTACTCCTAGCCAGCCCAGGTCACAGAATTATTGATTTTGCAATTAGCAAACTTAAGGCCAATACAAAATAAATGCAGTATTCAACAGCAATGAAAATATAGGATACAAATTTAATAAATCAATAATACTTTGCTTATATTCCTTCTGAATATTCCAGAAAATTCCATATGAAATTTGAAATTCTACTACTCCTCTCAATTTGCCCCTTTAATTCAAGAGCAATACATTTTCTTAAAACTGGATGCTCTTCCTCAAGTGAGTAGAGATAAAAACTAACAAGAAATCTCAGACGTGATCAAACAAGTGATCGATCAGAGCAACCAGACAAATCTTTGCTCCTTTGAAAACTTGTCATTGCATTTTAATGACTCTTTGCTGTTGTCCCTTCACTGAAATTAAAACTGTGATCACTCTTGCATAATGGGAGAACTTTTGTAAATATGTAATGAAAAATATTCCTCCTTACCATTTTAGCTCAGTCTTACAATAAACAGTATTTAACATAGTGTTTTTGCAATGTAATAGAAATGTTTACTGGATGTTGATTAAGGCAGGTTTATTTTTATCCAGCTGCAGATATGGTAATATTTGTGCAGACTATGGAAGCTCACAGTAACTTCCCATCACTATCCTTTAATCAAAATAGAGTAACTTCTCATTGCACTATAAATGGAATATATTGGCTTCATTTAAGTGAGACCCACAAAAAAGAAGAAGCAGAATCACAGTGTCTACAGTTCCCATATAGAAAAGCTGACTCATTTGAATGAGCTTTAGGTTGATTTACTAATTTGCTTCCAAATGAAAACAATATTGTTCCATGTTTTATATACTTCAATAATTCAGTGAGATAGATAGATAGGAAGCTGCTTTTTAAGGAGGCAGGTCAGTGGGACGTCTAACTTGTAATTATCTATAACTAGCTTCGGAGTTTGGGATAAGGTCTCTCCATGCACCAATCTACTAGAAGATGCTAAATATGAAATCTAGGATCCCCTATGTGTAATGAATATGGTCTTCCCTGGTTTTGGCCTCCATTCTACCAATGATTTAATGATGAAAATAGTGAGAAACTTCGGTTATTTATACTGAAAGAGGAAACAGCAATCAGATTCATAGTGAACTGATGAATATGAACTCAGGTGAAGGAGGTCCATGGGAATGGCATGAAATTTCAAAACAGTGGAGTTCAGAATGTGAATTTGCCTAACTTGCAAAATGCTAAGTTCCACCTACCTAGAAAAAAAATCTTCGGTTCAAAATTTAAGCTACGAAGTTCATTCAGCAAATTTGTTGCTTTACACTTATCTTTCTCCATGTCAGTAATTAAGGGGATTATGCTCAGATAGGCTTTTAAGATACGGTTACTATATCCTAGGACAAAGTAGAACTCCAGGAATGTCTGTGATATCTACATTTTGATCTGGTCTACCTGTCTGGGCTGACCTCAATCTTGAAAACCAATCTCTTTCTATTCCCCTTATGCTATGCAAAATCAAGGTACTCTGAAAGTATTTATTTATTTAAATTTATATGCAGCCCAAATTATTCTGAGTTTCTTTCTCATGCATCCTTCGGTCTCCAGGCTGTGTAATCTCTTGTCTAAGTCCTTATCAATTCTTTTATGACTTTCTCAGTGTCACTGTAAAAACCTTTACACAACTCAATTGATTTGCTGGTGTAGGTGATCAATCATAACCTGTCATGCAGAATTATCTTCAAATGATCAATTGCATTTATCTTTGAATAAGCAACGTACCAACTTCCTCTATCTCTGCAACACAGCCAAGACATAATTCCAGATCAAGACATAATTGTTATAAATCCATCCTATATACATTTTAATCCACACATACACATTTACTTAATACTAATTACAATTCTTTTGACTATCTCTACAAATTCCCTTGGATAGACTAAATACTATCATAATAAAACAGTTCTAAAAATAATCTTCCTAAGGAATATATTATGGTATAAATTTGCCTAAATACAAGAGTTTGAACCCAAAGGGTTCCACTTATTAACATTTATTCTTGGAACAGCGTCTCTTTTTCACTTGTATGCACACATTCAACACTGCTATCTCTTGTTACTTTTTAGTTTAACTTTCTTTTTCAAGAAGTAAAACAGGAGTACAGGAATGTCTATTACTGAGTCTGGATGGCAGAAACCAAAACGATTTTCCAAACAATTGCCTTTGCTACCCATTAAATTTACCCATTAAAGTCTACCCATTAAATTTACAACTCCCACTAGGTGCTGCATGTTATTCAAAAATAGCAAGTAAAACAATGCCTAGCAAATGATACAATGCCTGGCACAGCCTTCTGAGATCTTGTTTCACAGGTCAATATGCTTTGCAGGCAGTCTGTTTCAGAACGCAGACAGTGTCTTAAATCCACTGCAGATTCTGCAGCCTTTTCTGATTTTTTTTTACAAATATGAATTCATGATTCTTTGAGATTTGCCAAACATTCCACAGCATAATCAGAAAGTCAAAAGCTGTTTTGCATCCTTTTTCTTTGCTAAAGTTCTGCCCACCTTGAACCTAGAAGAGACCTTCCTGAAGAGAAATTCAGAGCTGAGGGAAGTGGATAAATTGCCAAACCAAGGCAGCTCAAACATGGGAGTCTTGCCAACAAACTAATCTCAAAGTGACCCTCCATGCCAAATCCTCTTGATACTTGCAGATGCTGTCCAAGCAAACTCTAGGGGAAGTTTTGAGTTAGTACATGACTGTGCATTTGGCTGCCTGGAGATTTTATCTCAAGAATTCTCCCAGAAGAGAAGAGGAATCTGGATATCTAGTTCTAAACAATGATGCAACAGTGTCAGTGACAAATAGGATCAGCAATAAGCTTGTTGGAGACTCTGTTGCATTAACATTTCCCTATTGACCTCCTTTGCTTAGTTCCTAGTTTCACGCGAGACGCAGTGCATCGGACTTTATATAATTATCATTCTGTTTAACTTGCTGTGTTTTGCATAAACGAGTCCCATCTTTCATTATATTTGTCCATAAATTGTCTATAAGCAATCCGCTCATAAGTGGCAAGTAATTAGGTCTTCGATACATTGAGTGAATGAGACAATACAGTTATTTTTCCAAGACTGCAATATCAGTCTTTTGGCTATAATAAGGGCATGGAGAATCCATTTACTTTGTCCAGTTGTCAAATTCCAAATACTAGGTATGTAGTTAGGAAGAATACAATCTGAAAAGTTTAGCTTCTGTTGCACAATAATGTTTTTATAATCCAGCACTTTCTTCCAAAATTTAATACAGAAGCTTTATCTAAGGCAGAACTAGAACTCGCAGTCTCCTACTTTCCAGCCTGGTGTCTTAACCACTAGAGCAAGCTGGTTCTCATGAACCAACTTAGTGTTCAATTAAATTCAATTTTAATTTTACATTTTAAGCTCTATTTTCATGGACCTCTAATTTAATTAATATGCATTGTTTACAATTCACAATTATGCTTTGATTCAATTTTATCATACTTGCACCAACTAAATTAAGTATAGACACAGATCTCCTTCCTTCCAGATATGTGTGTCTTCTGCCTCATCTTTCTTCCTTCTTTGATGCATCTTTTACATTTTAAGTCTGAAGACCAGGAATGTTCTGCTAATGTATTCCAGAACAGTACTATGTAAACAAAACTTTAGTTAGAAGGAACCCAAACTATCACTACTACCATCAAACTGCAAAAATGGCCATCTGAACTTTTTCCACAGAAGCATGAATAAAAGCCAATTTCTTCACAGAAGTTTATTGACCTCACAGCAATAGGATTTGCAAAAGGATGAACATGGCAGGAGGAAAGAATGTAGATTAATGTAGATCAAAGCCATATAAAAGCTAATTTAAAATTCTACCTCTATATCATAGATCGTTTACAACAAATGAGATGCCTCATGAAAATATAGTAAGGCCACATCTCTTGCAAATCCTAAACAGAAATGGCATTTCTCTTGTTCATGTACAAACACAAAAATACTTTATATGTATAAAACATGTGGTTGAAGATTCTACTAGATGTGGTTGGAGATTGTATTGCATGTCTAAGTATATTTACACAAATTCCTTGGTGTCTAATCGCACCTCACCAAATAAACTGTTCTGTTCTGTTCTATTCTATAGCAGCTCCTTTAATAAGCTACAGGAAGGCACTATATTTGTGTTCTCACACAGTCTTTTTCCTAATTATTTTCAAAGCACTATTTAGTTATGATTCATGATATAATCAGATTTGATTTGATTATACTTGATTTGGTATTCTTATTCATTTATCAAGTCCTTCCCAAGGATCTGGGATAGGCAGATGTTGATGTGTTATGTGTTAGTTATTATTATTGTTCAGTACACAGCCAGCCAGATGTTCTGACTGGTTTTTGCATTTTTGTCCACCTATCGAGTCTTTCCCAAGGACCTGGGATATTACTATTAATTTATCCCCACCTGTTTTGTATATATTTATTTTGCTCAACTCAAAGCAGCAAACCTGCCTAATACTCCTATCTATTTTCCATCACAATATAAACTAGATATTGCAATTACGTGGCTTCTTATGCTAATCTTATTCTGCTCTCAGAAAATAATTCAATGTGTAATTATTTCAAAGGCTGCACATCTTTATTAGTCCATATGTGGAATTTCTACTTGCAAAACTCACAATAAAGCCATTGTGAAGTCTAAAAGTTTTGGGTGAGAAACAGAATGGAATGAAATGGCCGTTTCCTTACCAATCCATCACAATTGCTAATTGCCACTGTGGCCTCTGGCATGCCTGTGATGCCTCCTGTGAAGACGCATTCCTGCTTCAAGGGTTCCCGAAAAACTTCTTGGAAATCTTCTTGCCACTCAGCCAAAGCACCAGGAGATACCAGCTTCTGGTTGGGTTTTAAGCGAAGATGCAGTTCCTTGCCCAAAACACTAACATTGAAGAAGTACAAGTGATTCCCAGAGATGGCTTGTTTCATAGGGGTGCTGCGAACCGTCCTGTGTCGACCTGAGTGATGCGCAGGAGCCGGTGAATCAGACACCACATGTGATAGGAACCGTCCCTGGTGATCTACACTGAAGGGCACAATCACATCATATTCACTTAGCTTTCCAGACAGGAGCAGCTCTATGGAAATAAATACGGATAGACAAACGTCAATACATTCAAATGAAACAAATTTTGGTGCGAAAAGGAGCCTTTCTCCCCCAAATATCTACACTTGTAACTTCAGCAACATGGAATTTTATTCATCGACTCTTCACTTATAGCAAACCCTAAGAAAGTTGACTTTGCGTGATGTCACAAAACCATATTTTAATTTAGTATGTGTGGCCAGTTTACATTTGGTATGTTGTAGGTACCCAGGGAGGGAAAAAAATAGAATTAAAATGGGTGAATTTTGCAACTCGGATACATTAATGCAAATGTACATTACATTTGCAAAAGTCCTATGTATCCTATTTTTTTCCTTTATTTATTTTGATTTTACTTCTCATCAGATAGGACAAAAATGATGTAAGTCTTTGGACCACTGAAAATACAAAACATGTATTCAGCAAGGCACTGCCACATACTTTAAAGCATATTTTCACATCAAAGGCCTTTGCCAAAGCTTGTATTGCATACATTCCTGCTTTCTGAACTAAAAAAGCTCAGAAAGGTCCATTCTGTGCCATCCTACCAACCAACAATGCATTTTGCACTTTTTTTTCTGCACTGCACTCTATAGCTAGTGAAACAGGCATACAGATATCACAACTAAATATTTTGATGATGTATTGACTGTTGTACAAGCCTGTGAAAATCATTAAGCGATTGTGATTTGGTTCTGATCTTTTATCCTCATTCTTTTGGCAGCTGGCCATTCATACAGAAAAATGTAATGTTCAGGTTTTTGTTTTTAAGCATTCCTCTTCCCACTCCCATTTGCAGCCATTATCCTTGGTTTACACACACACAAGCAAGCCCTGGTGAAGGAGATTTGAAGTGAATAGGAACCACTCTTCATCTCCAGTTGCAAAACAAAGTTATTTCCCTTACAAACTTCACAAACAGTTTACTTATGTCATACAAGTTGTGTCGTCTTTTCTTAACACGACTGTGTTTAACTACCGTGAATGTACCGGCCGACTGTGGTTCGTAGATTCACTAAGTAAGACATCGGTTTGGGTTCATTGTGTATTACATTCATGAGGTTTTCCCTCTTTAGGAAACTTTACTTTATTATCAAGTCGTTCTATTGTTCTAAACTGAAAAGTCTTGGAACAGAATCCACAACAGTTTCCAGCTTCTCATCCAAGGAAAACTATTGCTAGGGTAGATACCATGTGTTAAAATAAGATTCACAGCCTCACATTTAAATATTTAAATTATTTAAACATAATACGTTTAAATAATACATACTAAGAATATGATCAAGCAATGTTTCTCTATAAACAGAGTTCTCTTTACAAACAAAGTTCTTCTGATTGGTATGCTGCAAAACTCCTGTGTATTTTATTTTACTTTATAGCCTACTAGCTGTACCCGGCCACGCGTTGCTGTGGCTCAGTCTGGTAAAAGTGTGTGTTGCTTTTACGTCCAACAGATGGCGCTGTTTTTCAAAAAAGCATGTTTTTACCTGTCACAGGTCTGACATCTATATAATATAGGTATATAAAAACACGCGCGTATTCGAATGCAACGTTGTGTCAAACTTTCAAAGTAATCGGTGAAGAACTTTCGGAGATTTAAGATTTTGAACAAACGAACATTTACATTTTTATTTATATAGATTGACTTCCACATCAGGACAACACCACAAAGATCTCCAAAATGAGAGCTACTGTATTTGCAACGAAGTAGCCAGTCCAGCAGAAATCCATAAACCTGTCTAGTATGATCATGTGTTTATTAAAAACAAGTTTGACACTACAGAGAAAATCTGATTGACAGGGGCTGAAAAATAACAATCAATGGTCAAATTTAAACCTACTCTTTATGTATCATGCCTGTCGCAAGCCAGATGATGGATTTTTAAAAGATTGGCAATTGCTTTCTCCCTTGTAATAGAAGAAAACTCCTGTCTTCCAAACAGGAAAGTTTCCAAACAGGAAAGCTAAAGCTGGGCAGATCAGACACCGCATGAAATGGGAAGCTGGTGCCTAGAAATCTGGGGGCCAGTTGTAGAGAAAAGCTCAAATAACACTGTAATTAGCAACATGTGGCAGAGGAGTTGTTTCCATATCTACTGGGATTAAGGGATATCCTGCACATCATCTGGGCAGGAGGGCTTGCAGGATCCAGAGAAAGGAGTAGTGCACAGGTAGGAGGCGATTTGTCCTTTACGTGAAAAGGCAGTTTTTCCTATGACAGGTAGATATTCCAGAGGGCAGGAGCAACAGCTGAGAAGGCCCTCCTCCTGGATCCCGCCAACCGGAATAATTGGGCTGACAGGACCCGCAGCCTGCCTCCTCTGCCGGCATGAGTGGTACGGGCCAATCCTAGTGGGGTGAGACAGTCCCTCAAGTAACCTGGATCAATACTCTGCATTTTCAATATACAGGAGCTTTGGAAAGGGGAGATCCAGCCTAGAACTAAGGAGGAATTTCCGGACAGTGAGAACAAATTTCCTGACAGTGGAACGGCTTGCCTTCAGAAATTGTAGATGCTTCATCACTGGAGGTCTTTAAGAAGAGACTGGACACTTGTCTGAAATGGTACAGGATCTCCTGCTTGAGCAGGGGATTGAACTAGATACTAGAAGACCTCCAAGGTCCCTTCCAACTCATTCTCTTCTGTTCTATGGATGGAAACTAATCTAAGAGAGAAGCAACCTGGAATTAAGCAGAAACTTCCTAACAGTGAGAACAGTTAACCAGTGGTGCAGCTTTGCCTTCAGAAGTTGTGGGTGCTTCATCAGGGGAGGCTTTTAAGAAGAGACTGGACAGCCACTTGTCTGGAATGGTATATACTAGGATCTCCTGGTGGAGCAGGGAGTTGGACTAGAAGACCTCCAAGGTCCCTTCCAACTCTGTTATTTATTCATATTCTCTCTCTCTCTTCTCTCTCTCTCTCTCTCTCTCTCTCTCTCTCTCTCTCTCTCTCTCTCTGGTGGAGCAGGGAGTTGGACTAGAAGACCTCCAAGGTCCCTTCCAACTCTGTTATTTATTC